TGCTTATGTTGATCAGGTTAAGAGATTTCAAATTAGATATGCATTATGTAGCGCAAGTCGCAACAAACAATGCACATGTTCTAAAAAAATTCTGCTCCGCCTGTTCATATCACGGAATAGAGATGTTGTTGTTTGTTGCTCCATTAAGGTAGGGAACCGCAAAACGAATAGAGACGTCCTAAGAAAAAAGAGCTTACTTAGAAACTTAGCAGAAAACTTCACATCATAGACGCAGTTTCTCAAATAAAAAGAAGGGCTTTTGAAACAGCCGAACAACGTACTACATAATGCGAAATTTTCGCTAAAGGGATGGCGCAAGGCTTATTGCGGGCTTTTAAATGTAGTGCAGCCGACGGCTCTTCCCTATATCTTTACATCTTGCTCACTTCCTTCTAAGCATACATTCCAGTAAGTCTTGCAGATACAAGTTTTACAAATTGCTTTTGACATTCAGCTTGCCAATTCAACGGCATTTGCATGTGCTATAACAGCAGCAGTTATTTCCACCTTATGCTACAAATCCGTAATCATCTATGTCAGGAAATGTGCGCCTTGGTAAGGCTTTGAATGGTTTTGTTGTGTATCACTAGCTCATCTATGTGAGGAAAAACAAATAGTCACTATCCAGGAGAAAACGGCAAGCCATTCGACTCACGGTCCAATTCAGCGGTCTCGTGCTAGCTCTTCTGTTAGCTTGCAGTCTCTATTTATGCGGATGCTGTTTACCCTGGGTATAATCATACCTACTTTGGCTTTAAGTTCAATAGAATTCTCTATTTTCAGAAGACTGGTTTTCCAATAGTGGGTCGGATGTATCTGTTACTGGATGTGATTTTGTCATGCATACATCCTTGGACATATATCATTTTCAACAGCGAAATAAGAAGCAAAGTACTTAATTTGGCAACGTGTCACATGCAGGTAAGAAATTTACACAATTCGCTCAATATATCTAAATCTTTTCATTTAGAATCATGTCACGGCCATTAAAACTATACATGTCACTCCGCATTGAACAGGAGATTGAAAGAGTGCAGATTTTTCTTTTCGATTAGGCAGAAGTCTATGCTGTCTTACTATGCTACGAGCTATCTGGCAATAATTTAAAACAATTGGATACTAAGAGATCTCACATTCTAATGTGTATGATCAAACATTCAATGTAGCAGAGTTGGAAAAAACACGAAAACTATGCAGATAGAGATGGGAAAAGACAACTGTGAATGTGATAACAAAATGGCAATTCTATTTCATATTCGCAACACTCTTGAAAATGAAGCATGCTATTTTTGATACGATAACTGCCTTCATCACCCAAAGAAAATGGACCAAAAAGCAACCAAGTTGTACCAAAGAAAAACCTGCTGCTGATGCAGCGGGCCTAAAAGTTGGATGTCTGTTTCGTGCTCGCTTAGGCTGGGTTCATGTTGATTTTGAAGTTTCGGAACTGTTCGCGTAGTTCTCTCACTGTGTTGGAACTGTGCTGCATGGGTCGCAGTCGCCCACATGCGGTTCTGAGCGGCGACGATTAGGGGTTTTGACAGTTTCTTCTCAGATTTCACTTATCGGGCTCATTCCTCTACCCGCTTCTCATTGATGAGAAAAGTATTAATATTTAAGCTTTTCCTCAATTTTATATTGTTTCACATACAGTAATCAAGAGCGCAAGGGTTGAACAGTCCTCGCACTGCTCAACACGCTCCAAGCGCTACTAAGCCTACAAAAATCTCAGTTGAAGACTGGTTCATTGTTCAGTGTTCATAGAATCGTCCTTGGACAAAAGTGGAAATGGCAGCCACAATTTTTTGAGGCAATTCTTGATGGTAGAGCACAGTTCAGGCGCGAATTAACACGTTTCGGACCGCGAAATCGCGCGCGGCGAAAAAGAGTGTACTTTCAGCCGTCAGCCTACAAAGGGACCTTATTTCGCAGCCTGTGGGCCACATTTGTAATAAGCATGTCAGATAAGCTCCATATCCAAAGTTCTGAGTGAATTCGAAGTGTTTGAATTTTGTCGCTTGAGAGGGACTTTTGTGCTTTCTTGAAAGATAGGAACAAGAACTCAGATTTTAATAGTATTCAAAAGTATCTATGTTGTACACGGCACACATCAGTATTGAAACTACGGTTTTTCTCTTTGATATCGAAGCAAAGGAAAGTTGCGACGTCGCACGCGTCGTTCGCGTCGCCGCACCTCGTTGCAACTGTTGTTCGATTTGTGTTCATTTCTCCTAAACAAATATCGGCGGCACAACTCTACAGAGTCATTTGAAAAGTAGGAGGTTAGACCTTTAACTTAACAACTCTAGACTAAATGGAAACCTCCTGCAAACGCCAAAAAGATCCCTCAAAGCAGCGTGCTGCGCCATGTGCAGCACCGGTCCGAAACGTGTTAAACTATACTCCACTTGAGCCATTACACCCATAGTATGATTATTTCAATTATGAATGCAAATCGTTGCCCCACTCTGGATAGGGCTATTCAAAATTAAAAACAACACCTGTGTCGCGGCTCCGCGATGCGAGCGCTCCTAGAAGCAGGAGGCCGGGAGCACCGCTTGCTGTCGCGCTATCTGGCGACGATTACGGTACTTTCCCACGCTTGCCGCAATCGCCTGGACAGAACAGATTTCGCAGTCGTTGCACCTTTTGCCACAGTACCCAATCGCGTCTGACAGGGCATTCGTGGCGGGACCAACTAGCCCTTTTACTGCTCTCCGTCTCCTCTGCACAAGGGAATGTCCGTGAAGGAAAGCTTAAGGGGGACTGTGACTTTTGCAACTGCGAAGGTCTCATCCTGTTCATGACACTGCAGTTAAAGTTTTTATCAGGAAGTCAGATCAGACTGCAGAGAAGATTTTCAGTTGTTTGTAGGTATATTCCGGCGACCATGAACAGTAGTTCTCGCGTATTGGAGTCTTCCCTGACATAGAACTAGAATTGCTGTGAGGACATTCTGTTCTATTTTCAGTTTCGCTCGCAGCCACTCGTTCTCACCACCGTTGCTACACTGACCACTGAATATCGGATTCGCACAAAGGAAACGTCCTTTTCTAGGAGCTGCATTTGATGTTTTATAAAAAGGACTTTTGCTTACTTCCTTCATGCAAAATCGTTTTCTAGGTGGTTTAATTATGATAGACCATTGTATGTGTTGAAATCGAAGAGAAAATTGCTTCTGTTCTAATTCCGCATACAGTGTTTTATGTTACGCTTCGGCTCATTGTGAGCATTATTAAGTGTAGTACTAGTTTATCCACTCTTACTTACTGATAGAATGTGCATAAGAGGGCCTTCGACCTATGTTCGCGACTCAAAGTGATAAAACTTTGAGTTTCTTCTTTCAGCAAGTTTGTCGATAAGGGGGAAGAAACCAACAAACTGCCATTTTCAAACTATCACTCCCATTGTGAGTTCCGGAACGGCAGCATTCAACTTGTTCACTCACATGTCATTTTAGCATCTCAATACCCCTGCATTAGGTAGCCGAAAACCGCTGTGATCTAGATTTTTCTGGGTGGACATTCGTAAATAGTCAGATACATGCATCATTTCATTGCGAAAACGTTTTACTTGCGTTTGCAATGGATAGGTCCGATGGGAAAATAGATCCTAGACTATCTGGACCACAGCTTTTGCTACCATCGCTTCGCTATGCCTCATTTCCACGTTTTGACATCAAGTGGGTCTCTTTTAACGATGAGCTGTGGGGAACTTCTGTAAAGCATGTGAATTTGGTGATAGAGGACTTTAGAGCAAGACCTATTCATATCCTAGTAAAACAGCACTTAGAAAACCATATTTCGTTTGTTGTACTGCCTAGCCAAGACCTTGGACTACCAAAATCAGTGCGGAGTGCATCTGCTTATAGTATTTGCGATAGAGCAAGTGTGATGATAGCCAGAATTGTTTTGACTATGTTCAGATGGGGGAGGATGCACTCTCACAAATGAAGTGAACACAAGGAGTTCAAATAAGAAGTTATGACTATTGAGCTACCTCGTGCAAGAGAAAAGCCTTGAGAGGAGTGATGAAAGCAAAGACTGAGATTTAGATACTTTGTTAATCTTTCCTTGGCGTTACTAATCTCCTTCATATCAAATCGCTCAACAATTTAGAACACAGAATGGGACGAGTCCTATGTATGATTATGCTACGAAAGCGCTACAGGGGTCCCACAACGAATGGCCTGTTAGAGGAGACAGGCCACTGTAGCAAACGGTGCAATGACTGCGAAATCTGTTCTGTATCGCCTGGACCTCTCCTCGCCTTGGCGCATGCCAGCCAAAAGGCTATATATAGCGGCGGCGCCTCATCGCAGCATCTATTCGCTTTCGTTTTCGATCGATAATCTTTTCACATGTTTTCCATTGTGCTCGTGCCTGGCAGTTAGCTCCCGCTTTTGATGTCTCTTTTGCGTTAGCGGTCGAGCGGATTAAAAGTTGTATTGGAATTCAAGTCTGATTTGGGATTGTTTTGGACGAGCTACTTTCGAACTTTGGGATTTAAGATCTTGTGAACTTCGGGAGCGGAGAGGTGTCGCGCCTGGTATCCGGCGACGCGTGGCGGATCTGTTTTGGTGAAGCCTCGGCAGCATATCTCTTATTTGTGTTTACAGTCGTGCGCATCGGTAGCACGGGATGGGGCACCCTGTCCCGTGTTTGGGGTTTTCCTTTATTCGTAGTTTAGTATTGTAGCGTAGTGCTTGTTTATTTCTTGTCGTGTTATAAGGATAAACTGTTAATGTTTAATCCTGTTTCGTACGCGAGAGTAAAATAGTAGGCTGGGTCGCGTCGTATGTAATAAGCGGGCGAGTGCACAGGCATCTCGGATAAGTCTAGGTACTTAGGGCCCACCGAGCCGCCACAACGTGGCTAAGATTTTTCATCAAAGTGTAGAAACTGAATCAGCTTTCTCTGTTTGCCAAAAATAGTTTGTTTGCAGTCTAAATTCGAGCTTAATGCAGTCGTACTTAATCAATAAAATTTTTCATTCTAGTCACTTTACAAAGTCGCCAATAATTTATTAATAATTTACCAGTTCACCAACCCCAATGTCAATTTAACACATATATTGCAATTTTAATGCACCAAAGTAATAATAATAATAACTTGGTAGATTTCATGCATTCAAGTAAGTAGAATAACTAGCTATGAATGGAGTGATTTAGACACGGGTAATTTGAAGATCAGCAGTATGAATGTGGCATCAGACAACTAATTACAATGAAGAAGTCACACCCGGTACTCCTACTTTTGTTTCTTAGGTTGCTTTTGTTTGATAGCAGCTTCAACACCTGAAAGTAGACTTGCGTTAAGAGCTCAAATATTCTGAGTGAGTTAACGTTAACACGGGAAGAAGCACTGAGGCTCCGGCCAGACTTCGCACAAAAGCGTCCAGAAGCGCTCAAAACGCCCAAGTTTCTTTAAAGGCAGTGTCCGGGCAAAAACTCGATTTTGAGATTTTGTGCTTACTTGGGCCTATTCGCTACGCTGAATCCGAAAATGCACATTGTAGAGCGCGAAAATGGCGAAAAACGCTCTAACACGGGAGGGAAATGAGCAGGTGGGCGGGGCCCTCCCCACTGCGAATTCATGTTCTCGGCTTCCGGAGCGACCTTCTCGCTTCCGGTTTCAAGTCAGTCATTCGCACTTGACCGGTAGCGATGTTAGGACGGCTAGCGGAATCGAGAAAATCGCTCCGGGAGCCGGGAGCGTGAAATGCACTGGGGAAAGCCCCGCCCACCTGCTGATTTCCCTCCTGTGTTAAGGCCCTTTTTCGCCGTTTTCGCGCTTTCCAGTGTGGATTTTCAGATTCAGCATGACGAATAGGCCCATATAAGCACAAAATCTCAAAATCGAGTTTTTGCCCGGACACTGCCTTTAACTTCTCTTCACTTTCTCGTGGGAGGAGAGATAAGAGAGAGTGAGGAGGTAGAGAAATTTGGGGGGGGGGAGGGGCATTTGGGCGCTTCTGAGCGAAGTCTGGCCGGGGCTTGAATGTTGTGGCTCGACGAACCCCTGTCGGGTGGAGGACATTAGGTCGCCGAATTTGGAAGAGTCCCGCGCGGATTCCCTGCAGGAACGCATGTCCGCGCATGTACAAGGGTGCGTATTTGTTGCAAATGACCGCGGGGACCGCCCTTTTTCGGCGACCTAATGTCCCCCACCCACCCCTGTCAGATTTGGTGTTAAGTAGAAGAACCATCCAAGCGTATCTCTAGTCTCACCCTCCAATCCCCCAAAGCCTGATTACGTGTTCCAAAGTTGCACCAATTACGCTCAACAGAAAGCGAGCGTCAGTGCTTTGAAGCACTCCAGATTTTAGAGCACGGATTGAAGGGCGCGACTATGGTTCGGTGTCCTTGGAGGAGATACTTCTAACAGCAGAACTGGCATTGCCGTGTCACTGCCTCTATACTCTGTCTCAGCGATAGTATCATCAGCTTGTGCGGCTCTCACCAGCTCGTGCGGTTCGAGTTCCGCGCGCCGCATCTTGAACACTGTGCTGCGTCTGCGGATGTATCGTTTGTCTGGAGTTTTCCCACGTCTGCACGGCTTTGAGGGCTGTTGGGCATGGGCGAAAATGCTCAGAGGATACTTCAAAGAAGCTGCGCAACATCCAAGCGAGGCGGTCAGACCCCACCCGAGTCGCAGGAGCTGGCGACACTGCCGTTGAGACAGAGTGACTCATCCAGTTTTGTCCTTGGAAACTAATTTAACTCACCGTGAATGCAAGAAGAAAAGAACACTGCGAGTCGGATCAGCGCATAGTACCCGAATATAGCAACTACGAATGTTCCAATAAAAGCCTCCCATGGAAGTATCTCCAGCAAAGGATAGAGCCAGTACCCGTCAAAAATCCGAACAGCAATGATTCTAAAGTAAAATAACGCATAGCTAAAAGAAAGTATCAAAAAGTGTACTACTCACATCAAGAAATATACAACAACATGCAGTACAGCCATTTGTAGCGACTTCCCATGTGACGGTGGACTTCGCCTGATCGTGAGCAAGTCGAAGAAAACGTAAATTACCGGCAAAGTATGTGTGACATGGTTAAGCCATTGTGGGATCAGCCTGGCTATCCATTCCGGCATCACCAATTCTGGGTTGATAGCGTAAAGGCCCCAGAAGAGTGCGCATGTCACCTGGATAAGTTGCAAATTGACTTCTAACACGCTAGAGAGACGGTATAAGTAGAAACACTAACACTGAACCTACCACTGCTACTGGAAATATTGTACAATAGAATGAGAAGTCTAAGGCACTCTTGATCGGAGTATTGGCGATGGAAAGAGTTTCCGTGAGCGCAAAAACGGCGAAAATTGCAATGATCACCTGAAAACAGGCAAGTTTACAGATGAAAAGGGAAAAAGAAATTGGCATTGTAATTGCAGAAAATTTGGTATTCACTGAATACCAATTATCAGAAGTCGAAGTCTTACCACGTTTTGATATCAGCTTCAGCTTCATATATTAAGCTGTTCCAAAAGTAAAGCGTATTTGTGAATAAATCAAACTGTTTTTGTTTTGCCAGCACATCAAGGGTATAGGCCGTTTGCGCAATGCGAGGGGAGTGCGCAAGGTGTGTATCGTCACTCCTCTTTCCCCGTGCACTCTCGCCTCCTGTTTTCTCTGCGCTTCCTCCAGTCATGAACTATTTTCATTGGGCGCAACAGCGTTGCTCTCCGTGCGCAGCGCCGGCGGCCTACAGTCTGCCCCAACTGGGATCAGGCCGAACGGTCGGCTGAATTTGCGCGCTCGCAGCGCTAGGGGTTTGCGCTGCATACGCGCGCTGTCGCAGAGAGCAAAGAGATTGAGGAGAGAGCAGACTAGCTAGACGCAAAAGTGGCGCGAAACCCTTGCGACGCGCACTCCCGCCAAGCCAATTTTGGCCTGGTTAGGATTGGGGCAGACTGTACACCATTCGATAGGGCGAAGCAAGCTATAGTCGCCCTCACCCCACTAGTCGGTCGGTGGACGAATTCAAATTTGAATTGGAGCGGACCTGTCACGGCAGAGCGTGGCAGGAGACAACGCTCAGCAATTACAAAAACTCAATATAGGTCAAAAACGTTGTAACAATACAAAAACTGCTAAGCAATGGCGAAGAAATACGCAAAGTGAATGCGTGAATTTGAACGGAGAGCTAAGGTGCCGTGCTCTGCCGCGACCTGCCTGCTCCAGTTCGATTTCGAATTCGTCCACCGACCGACTAGTGGGGTGAGGACGACTATACAAAATCCGCCTAAGTCGTAATTCGAATACATTTTGCAGCCAAAAATCAAAAATTTTCAACCACCCCAAAAATCGGATCTCCTTCCAAAAAATCTCTGTGGACCTCCAACCTGGTCGCTATACAGTAAACACATAGTCGTCAATAAATAAAATTAGTCCGAAAATGCAAAAATGTCACTTTTTCGGTTTTTAAGTGTTAAACTTGGTATTTGTCGATTACAGGGCACATACAAAAATATAATTTCAAGGTACTTACTGGGGCTGCAGTGTACAATTACATATATGGAAGGAGTTGGGGCGGAGCTTGCCTTTTTTGGACTTTCATCTTTTCCTCGATTTCTTTGCACAAAAATGACCCCGCAAATGCTTTTATGAATACTACTATGTATTTTTTGTATGAACACCAATTTGGAGCTTCGCTTAATCGCAAATTTTTTCGATTTTGGCTCCAAATTTTGCCTGGATTACGATTTAGGCGGATCTTTGACGGTCATTTTGTAGAGCTTGCTGCTCTATCGGATGGTACCCTAATGCTCGGAAAGTAAAACAGTTTGATTTATTAGAAAATACGGTTTACTTGTGGGACAACCTAATATTAATTTCGGTTTGGTTAGATTCGTCGCATATCATGGTGCGCCAACAATACAGACAATACTTGCGCGTGAGAATTGCCCAGTGAACACCCGTGCTTTTCCCATGAACGCGCAAATATTAGTTGGGTCCGAAAGTTCGGGTCGTTTTTTAAATCTATTCTAAAATAGTTCAAAATGAAGGCAGACAAATCGTTTTAACAGTATCCAATCCAGAATTTCTTCCTCTTTCCAGCAGCTACGTTTTTGTTGTAGCTGTTTCGAAGACCGCTGAGATAATTGCTGGAAACTAAAACCTTTCAATTTTACCATGTAACTAACTTTCGCTAATTTTCAGAACTTTAGTTTAGAATCTTGAAGCTGATCCAATACGCCTAGTAAGGCAAGCCTTTTTCAAAGTAAATCATGCAATTTTATGCATTTTTTTCAGCTTCCTCTTTAGAATGTTGCTGAATTATTTTACTAGAGCACTGAATTTTGAAAAAAATCGCGTGACAAATAAGTGCACCAAGCACTGCGAAATCCCCAAAATATTGAAGTTCTAAAACTCGGTTATTACCATCACTAGTACTACGAAGTAAATGAGCGATTACGGCGTGAAAATGGATAGATTTCGGAATTTCGACTACAACCTTGTGCACCCGTAAAATTGGGAAGTACAACGATTTTGTCTGCAAAAGTCCCACGTTTCGCGAAAAAAAGGTGGCTGTCAGAAAGAAATGAGAAAGATGGATCGAATGGTACCTAAACTGTTCAATGTCTGATGTTTTGAGAGGTCAGAATAAGCAAAATATAAAATTTGGTCACTTCAGAAAATATATTTTAGTAATCCCAGAAAGCATGCTAGAGAGATGCAAAAAGTTGCATTAATCGGCAAAAGGTTTGCCTTATCAGGTGGTTATTAGAGCACCCTCAAAAGTCTAAAATGAGAATTTTGAAGATTAGCGAAAGTTAGACATAATAAAGAGTTCTAGTTTTCGGCAATTATCTCAGCGTTCATTGAATAATCACAATTGAAACATAGCAGTTAGAAAGAGGAAGAAATTCTGCATAGAACACTTTGTAGAATGCTTGTCTATCTTTATTCTGAATGATTTGAGGATAGGTCTAGAAAACGGCACGAATTTTCGGACCCACCCAATATCACCATGTTTGCGACAGCGCTGTTCATCGTTCAGTGACAACAGTCTGTCTCAAATTATCCTCACTGAATTTGACTTGACAATGCACGTTTGCAACGCATTTGCGTGCATGTACAAGCACAGTAGTGGATCCAAAATCGGAGACCTGAAAAATGAGTAGAGCACAGAGAAGATCCCGTCACGACATCTCATATGCATACATGGGGGCGAAACCGTGGAAAATAAAAAATATTTGCGAAAAAAATAAGACTTACAAAGTTCAAGTTTGTCAGCATAACCAACTTGTATATGTACCAATCATGACCAAGCCGGGGTTGATACGCCACATCGTAGTAGAGGGAGCCACTCCAGATAACTGCGAAGACTATACTCAGCACTTTGTTGGCTACACCCATAACCTAAATAGAAAGCTCCACTCGATTGTAAGACAGTTGATTCTAGATCAAATCGATAGAAAAACTGATGAATCGGAACTTGTACATCAGGACCTGTGGGCGATCAAGTATGAGCAAAGATGAATAGACCTCGCTATACAGGGCTCCTAAATTGCAGAGTCGTTTGCACCAGCGGTCGCGCGACCGCGTCGCGCCCGGGCATCAATGGCGTCGCCTCGATCGATGGCGCCGGCGCCGGCAAAATGCCCGGGCGCGACGCGGTCGCGCGACCGCTAGTGCAAACGACTCTGCAATTTAGGAGCCCTGTATATTCTCTCTAGAAAGAAAGTTTTACTCGGCGAGATGTCAATCGTCTGCCTCCAGTAATTATCGGCTGCCGAGAATCTTGACCCCAAAATAAGAAAGTGCGCTACCACAGAAGGAACCTTCTCCGATCCGACCAAGGCACCACTTATACTCCTAGAGTAACAGCAAGAAAAACTCTGCACGCAAATTAGAGATGTTAAGCTTATCACTGATTTTCAATATTTCCTCTTGCAACAATTTTCGAGCGGAAATAATTCCTACGTTATATACTGACAACTCGCTTGCGCTTTACTCGTTGTTTACGAGCAAATGTTGGTGACACCGCAGTAGCACTATGTTAACTATCAAATTTGATTTAATTCAATTTCTAAGCTTATGTCAATGCCAGTCTTGCACAAAAAAGACTAGCTCTTGTTTTGCCAGCTTACCCAGAGTGTAAGGTCGAATCACTGTGCACTTCGTACATTCCGTGCCCAGTACACCCAAAAAAGCAAATTTATTGCATACACTTCAGCTTGAGCATGGAAACTGAGCGAACCGCTGAGAGAAATGATGAATGAGGAATTTGGTGGTGTACAAATGTGAGGGAAGGTTATAACTGCCAAATGTTTGATTGAAAAGCCAATGTCTTAATGTTGAATTTTTGAAAGAAAACTACTACACTGAAAGTCTGAGTCACAACTGGATGGGGCGCTCCGGCGCTTTCAGTTCACCTTTTTCTTTGAAGGTCAAATAAATTTTCGACGACAGTTTATGCAGTTTCTGTGAATACGTCCGCTCGCGCATACCACGACGCGCATCTTTGAATTTTCCCATTCCATCCATTCCACTCCCTTTATCAGTGCTTTGATCCTTTTTTTCGTTGCGTTCCGTTTCTGTTCTGCTACATGAAGTGGAACGGAAGTTTTTTGTTGGCGTGTCTTAAAGTCTGCATCTTCATTGCTATCGCTTTTTGGAAAGTGATCTCTCTTTCATATATTATTTGATTTTTAATGAGCATTTAAGTTTAATCATTCGGATATTGTTGTATCTACTTCTCTTACTGGATTTCCTGTTACAGAAATGTCGGCCTTTCGTCATCCATCATCCACCCCATCCAGGGTAAGTATATCAGTTAGGATCCTCAGTGTTTGTTCGAGGTTATGCTAAACTTTTTCATCATTGTTTTTGGGCTAGCATTGATTTTGGCATGCTTGCATATTCCAGGCTTAGTTTCAGAATCAATCGGACTATACCATGAAGGCTCCGAAGCCACCAGATAGGCCACTGGTTCCGTATATGCGCTATAGCCGCAAGATGTGGTCTAAGGTATTTTGCCGACGTAATCAGTTCCTCTTCAATGTTCTGTACTTATTTTCCTAGGTTCGCGCTGAAAACCCAGATGCCCAGCTTTGGGATATTGGTAAAATTATCGGGCAAATGTGGCGAGACATCTCTGATGCCGACAAGGCTGTGTATCAGCATGAATATGAAATAGAAAAGGTTGTCTATCAGGGTTTACCCGCTCAATCTAAGAATGTATACTTTCAGGCTGAATATGAAAAAGCTTTCAAAGCTTACCAAAACTCTCATGCGTACCAGCAGTATATCAGTGCAAAGGTAAAATTTCCTAATCTTCACAATCAAGACTATTTTTGCACAAGTCAAAAACCGAGATTTAGTCTCGTGCAAAGGCTAATGAAAAGTCCTCTCGTAGTCGCATGGAAGCAGGCGGTGTTGTCATTCAACCAGTAGATGAGGAAGATGCTGGAAACGAGCTCTCTTGCCGGCGTTTGGCTGCTGTACGGTAAGGCTTGCGTTTCATCATTCAAAATTATTTTTCACATCTCCTTTATTTATAAGCTTATTACTCTGATGTTGAAGATTCTCCTGATGACACATCACTATTTTGCTTTTGCAGTTTCGACCGCAATCACCGGCTTATTGGGGATCTTTTCTCCCCTGCCGTTGTCACTGATACTAGAACTGTAAGTCCCAACCTTACTTCAAGAGTCCATCTTATGTTTTTCTCTCAGGTCGTAGCACAAAATCGCATGGATATGTTGCGGAAACAAGCGCAGTCATTGTCTGCTCATCAAAATAAGCTCGAGGAAGAACTTGTGAAGTAAGATTATGTTTCTTTTTTCGTTATTTACTTCTTCTAAAGCGATTTTTCACGAGGAATTTGATGTTTCGGGAGTTCCATAGAGAGCTCGTTTATAATATTCGAATTACACACTAGTATATTATGAAAGAATCCTTGATGTTTGATTCCATCAGGTCTAAAGTAGCTCATTTTAGGCTCGAAGAGATTCATCAGGAGAAGAAGCGCCAAATCGAGAGGGGTAGCGAGGAGTTTGCCGAAAATCTGAAGAGGGTATATTGATGCATTATCCAACCATCTCTTTGATCATACTCCTCTTTTTAGGTCTGTGAGGAAAAACCGCAGTTGGACGAAGCAAAATATCAGGAACTGCTAGAAGAGATGAAAACCAAACTGGCTGAGGCGTATAAGGAGTACAAGAAGAAGCAGGATGAAATTAATGCCAGGCTTGGTATCTTTTTTATTTCAAATGAAAATCTTCGTTCCTTATTTAAAGTTCAGTGCACATAAAACCTCTATTATAGCTGCCGAACGCGAAAAGATAGTGGAGGAGACCCCAGTTCTGGCGGAGCTCGTTATGAGTGATGAAAATGATGATACTAACTCAAGGCCATCGGAACCACCACCGACGGAAGAAAAGAAGGAGGAAGAAGCCAAACCTGAAGATGCTACAGAGTCAAAGACTGAGGAGAAGCATGAAGAGAGCGAGGCAGAAAGTGCGAAGAAGGAACAGCCCGAAGAGAAACCTGCGGAGGACTCCAACTAACGCGCTGTTTGCAAGTTTTTTGTTTGATTGTTTATTCTTCTCTAAAATTTTGATGGTCAAATGTAGTTGTTGATTAATGGTTTCAAATTTCCAAGCTGCATCTGTGACTATCAGATAACGTTCTTTTTCTGTCGCTTTTGCATTAATTTATTGAATTTTTTCTGCCGTTTGCAAACCTTGTTCTATTCTTTGCTGCTTTTCAATCTCATGTTCATAGATGTGTTTAAATTTGATGTCTCTACTTCCTCTGGAAACCATTATTCATGTCTCAACATCCTGCGGTATGTAGGCAACGTTCCGCTACCAAACAGTGATGGGCACAGTCTTTTGAAAAGGTGAAAATTCTTGAGGTCAGCAATCACAGCTTAAAGGCAGACTACAAGCAAATCTTGTACCTGCTTTTACGTGGAAAGTGATTTTGAGGTTCTGACATAGACGTTATCCAAGCAGCGCGCAAATGATATATTTACGGCCGAGATGTTCGTCTCCGAATCTGTCCTCACAACCTATTTAGCGGACGACTTGCATCGGCTCGCATCACATCAGGCGCACCACCCTCGTGCTGAAAGCCGTTGCAAACTTCCGCTAAAAACGTTACGATGGACAGTGTGGAGATGAATTTCTCGGCCGTGGATGAATCATTTGCGCTGTCGCTGGAAAAATGCCTTAGTTAGGGCCCACATTCAGTCTCCATTGTATCTCCCACTAGCAGGTTCTCCTGTCTGACTTTATTGGTGCGAGGGGCGTATCCGAAGTTAGCAATGTTTTTATCGAGTTCTCCCCTTCCCCCTTCCTCAACCTCCTACGGTCGCTCTCCCTTGGGGCATGTTTCGAAAACGTGGCGTTGCCGAAACAATGCGTATAGCTCAATACGTATATTTCTACATTTTCACTTCCTTTTCCAGACTTGTGGTAAGGCGACTCAACCAAGCTTTTATCTAATCTTTTGCTTGCGAAACATATAATATTTGATGGCTGAAAATATCCGGGCGCAACTATAAAAGTCGTCTGAAATCGTTAATCGCAATGATTTCTGCGTAGGACAGTGCGAACTGATAAGAAAAGCGTTAAGACAAGTGTATGTTTATGTTATGGTAGCAAGTGCATGTTACACGCCTCGTTTTTCACGCATTCGTTGCAAAATTCAATGTGTAAATAAAGTATTTTCGTGATTGTTTTCTTTTTTTTTGCAGAGGAAACTTACCGATTTTTTCTAGGCATTTTTGATGATACCACTGTTGCTTTTGTTTTTTGTAGTGAACTATGCCGCAAAAATATCCTTCCGTAGCCGATGAGGTACAGAAGTTTCTCAATGCACATAAGGATTATCCGATAGCGTTTGTGACCGTGGGTTCTTTGTTTGCTGTGGATGCAATACGCTTTTTAGCTACCCCTTGATTTTTTACATTTGGACGTTAGACAAGTGGTAGAAACTAACTTACTGATTTTTTAGAGTGGCGGTACAAAGGTGAACTTGGAGAAGAATTGCGTTCGATTCATTGACAATTTCTCGCAAGGTACCCGTGGAGCGGCTAGCACGGAGTGAGTATCTCTTTCTGAAAACCTGATAGTCTCATATGCACGGTGAATTTTTCAGATACTTTCTGAAGGCTGGTTATGCTGTAATTTTTCTGCACCGAGATGAAACACTTAAACCATTCTCTCGACTTTTTCCACGCGTTTTCAACTCTCTGAAAGTCGAAGATGGCAAGGTTTGTTTCTAGAATTTTTTTTGGGGTTTTCTTTGTTTTTTCTTACGTGCCGTTGGATTTTCAGTCTACTATAATTAACTGATAATGGGTATGCAAGTTTTCTACTGAAGCTAGTTCTTTATAGTTCGTAATTTCATCTATTAATATGCTTTTTATAGTTTGTGCATCAGAACATTTTGTTGGTCATTCACACATCTGCGCTTGCTCCATATTCTCTGTTAGATCTATCTCTTCTTTTAGGCCCTGGCCAGACTTCGCTCAGAAGCGCTCATAAGCGCCCAAAAGCGCTTAAACTTCTCTAGCCTTTGCTCACCCTCTCTCTCTCTCATTTCTCCTCATACGAGAAAGTGAAGAGACATTAGAGAAATGGCGCTTTTGAGCGCTTTTTGGCGCTTTTGAGCGAAGTGTGGCCAGGGCCTTACGTGTCCATAAAAAAGGTTCGGTCTAGATTATGTGTAATTATAGGTTGTTTGTGACCTGCCAGGAATAAAAGAAGCTGTTGAGCAATTAACCAAATATAAAGAACATCTGCTTTATGTGCCGTTTTCAACACTGGAGTCTTATTTTTACTACCTGGAAGAGGTAGGCCTTTTTTTATTTTGCTGCATTGGTTTTCTTAATTTTTTTTTATTCAGATTAGCAGGCAGCTGGTTCCATTACAGTCTAAGGCTCTGCTCTATTTGGCAGCTGCCGTGTCAGATTTCTACATTGAAGAAGAGAAAATGGTATGTTTTTTTTTTGAATTTCCGGGTTTTAGGGTTACATTACATGCATCATGAGTAACTGTATTAATGTATTACATACAAGAATCCTCTTGTTCAGCCCACTCACAAGATCCAGTCTAGCGGTGGTGAACTCAACTTACGGCTCAGTCTAGCACCCAAAGCTATTGATCAGATCGTTAATAAAATTATTCCTGATGCTTACGTCGTGTCTTTCAAGGTGAAAGATCGTTTACAGTCGTGGTCAAGTAGTATAAATCATAATTTTAGCTTGAGACTGATGAATCAATATTGATCTCAAAAGCGCGTGCTGCATTAGAAAAGTATGGTCATGAATTGGTGATAGGCAACATCTTGCAAACCAGGAAAGTCCATGTTGTGTTGGTCGAAGCTCAACATACGGAGGATATCGACTTGACAAAGGTATACGCTTTGTTTTTTTGAATTTGAGATGATGTCCCTTCCATTATTTTTGTTATGAACTGGACACAAAATCAACATTCTTATAAGAATCATTTTTTTCCAATTCTATTGCGTTTGATGATGAGAGTCCAAAAAATAATAATGCCACGATCAAATAAAATTTTGGGTGTATCTGTCATTTCCAGGAACAAGTCAGTAGTGGAGTCGAAATCGAGCAAGAGATCATTGCAAAGCTGAAAGAACGTCATCGAGCCTACATGATGAAACATCAGGCATAGTTTACAGTCCTTCATCGACAAATCTTACTTTAACATTTGATGACTCTTACAAATTTCACCCATACAATGACTTCATTCGTCATTCTTGCCATTTTTTAAGGTTTCTACCTTCCTTCTAGTAGTACACTCATGTATTCATATTTCAGCATTTTCTTTTCGTAGGACACCTTGCTAATATGTAAAGTTCTTCATACTCTAGAATTTTTTCATTACCCTTTTTTCGATTTGCATTTTGGCAAAAATTTGTAAGTCTACACATTTGTAATAATTGATAATAGTGCGTGCAGTCATGAATGTGATTTCTTGTGATCGATAGCGTTTTGTAGGACGCCTTTCTTGCCTGAGTTTTACTTTTATATTACGGCTTGACATAAACTTATTGCTATTTTTATTACTGGCTTCGTGTTAGGGTTGACTCCACTTTCATCCTTTGATTGCACCATCGTTTGAAGAGAACATCTTAGAAATGATTATTTCATAGTTTGCAGCAACGAAACAATAAAAAACACCTTGAAATCTTCAAAATATGGATAAATACGTAATATCGGAAGAAGAAGAGATACTGGATGCAGAACCTCCGTTTGATGACTCGCTTAAAGCAGGCATAAAAGTCATGGAGCTGAAAAAGAATACCAAGTTTGGTCATATCATCGACTATGTAAATAAGATGTTCGAGGTGGGTCATATTGTCCTGGCTGATGGTAGCGTTTGATGGGACAACAATTCCAAATTTTGCAGGATGAGACCGTGCGACGTGTAATTTTTCGTGGAGTGGGCGATGCAGCCGAGAAGTGCGTATCTTGTGTGGAGGTGTATAAACGAAAGAGACAGGTGTGCTTTCGGTCATGGTTTATCTAATTATATGATTATTTACTTATTTATTCTTTTTTTACAAAAAAAAATGCACCGATAAGAGGCCATGAAAAGGAAGGAATAATAAATGTTGTTAAACCCTTCCATAGCACCGAAAAAGAATTTTGCAAAGAGGAACATTTGATTGATTTTCCATAATCATGCCAAAATCGATTTTTTTTTTGAAAGACACGTTTAGGTTTCGGACCAAACTTACGATCCGATTGCATGAGCTTTGAACGACGACATGTTGAAAGTTTGGTTTGAGAAAATTTTTTTATTGCTTTTATTTGAAATTTTGCGTAGCGAAAATCGACGCGCGGCTCACATCGACTTCAGCAAATTTCGCCAGATTAATTTTAGGAAAAATATTGCGCAAAAATTTGCTTTTTGCTTTATCCTTTACTTATACTTTGCTTGCTGTAAATAGGAGTTCAGGAAGAACTTTATCAATGGAACGCTTTGAGCACAGCGAAACGTGTTACTTATTGGGATCCGACGGTAGAAGGGATGAATAGGTGAGTGTTTGCTCATATTTTCAGTTAGATAAAGTTTTTTTGGGCGTTGAAAGTACAGTAAAATTCCTAGATTGAAAGTAACAATCGATACTCCCGTAATCTTTATCATGCTCTCAAGAGATCCGTATCCAGTAGAGCTGCAGTGCATGAGGTAAGTGCGTTTTATTTCATATAACCTTTGATTTAACTGGCTTGGCGGCTGGGAGGTGGAGCTTTGGGACCTAATTACGCGACCGCACCGCAGTCTGCGTCTCTGTCGCGCGCGTGCTCTCTGATTATTGTCTAGCCTTAATTAGGTCATGAAGCCCCGCCTTCCAGCCGCCAAGCCAGTTAAATTAAAGAGTACAGTTCATTTCCCTTTGACCATCGCCAACTTACAGCATGCAACGTACATCAGATGGTATCAAGAAAGTACCAAAACCATCTGATGGCCGACCAGCTCGTCGAGGTGGTAGAAAACCGCCTCGTGGGGGAGGCTCAAACAAGTGGGCTAGACCATCGAAAGAGGCAAATGAAGCAGAAACCACTGAAAGGCGAGAGATACTGGAAAAGTTAGAGAAGAAATCATAGTATATTGTAGTTCTATTACATCGCGCTAATCTTTTGTGTGCTGAGGGAAGAAACGCAGTGGTGCTGCTGTGCGTTTGCGCAGCTTTTGAATCGTTAAAAAGTTTCTATACCGTAGGTTCTCAGTAATTGTGAGGCATCGGAGCTGCAGCCGTACTGGATGCAGCTTTTTCGTTTTGTACAAAATGCTAAAATTTCGTTATGGTCAAGACTTGCTGTTTTCATTATGAGATTTTTATTGCTCGTTACTGCTCAGTGACTCAGTATCAGATTGAATATAGAGTTTATAGTTTTCCATGACTTGATTTTTGAAAGGAATTATTAATTTGTTGAAGTTTTCTTGTCTCGATACTGTCGAATATGCTTGTGGTTTTATCAGTGTAGGGGCTCCATAATAAATCTTCGGGTTTTCTTCTATGTCCTATATGAGATTCTGAAATTGTATCGACAGTGACCCGTTTACAGTGACGCATACGGCTTGCACAAGCTATCGTTCATGTTAGCTGATTCCACACATATATCTCAAAACTATTTGTTATGCGCAGTTCTTGCAACATTATCTGTTTGAATATTTCAAGTTTCAAGGAGAATCGCAAACAAATTTTTGCTATTAAAGATCGAATCTTCAAGAGCTAGCCGTTGTTTGAAGAGAAATCACGCACATACACATGCTGTGGCATTCTCCTCGAGTTCACTGAGAACGGATGTAAAGTTTGAACTTTGCAGACATTTTACACCCCATAAACATTATGTAGAGAAAGGGATTTTGCATTACGTGCTTGGTTCTATGGAGACAAGACTAGACAAGGGAACCAGATCTGGAAAACTCCGCTTGCTAATCAATATTAAGATTGTAACGTAAGAAAGATTGTAGAGTAAATCAGGACCACCTAAATTAGGTAAAAAAGGGCAGCATTACTTCTATTTGGATATTGTAAAATCCAAAAAAAAACATGCTTTGCTATTTGATTAGTTGCTTTTGAATAAATGGCAGATAATTTTTCGGGAATTGAAGTCATGAAATTGGAGCAAAAAACAAGAAAGTAAGAAGGGAAAAGCAAGAAACTCGAGAAGATTTTCCTTGTAAAAACAAAGTAGACTACTAGGTCAACGCGAAAATAAAAAGAGTCCTCTTTTCTCGTAATCTGCAAAATACACATAATTTTGCATCGACCTATAATTTTCAATTCCTTCAATTTTTGTGTTCGAAACATAAACAATGTACGAATTTTATGTTTTTGCAATTTTTATGTTTCACGTGCTTTTTATGTACTCCACTGGTTGTTATGCCTTTGTTCGCTGGGAATATCTATTCGAAGGAATGGGATTCTTGTTTGAAATAATATTCTGAACTCGTTATCGGGTCATGTACCAAAATTTTGGGAGGTGATGTACTTGATGGATTATCTCTTAGCATCCAAAACTACAACGAGGAAAAATCAGTTCCTAAATTGAGGGATAACTGCACCTGATTTTCTGTCGGATTAGCATGGTTCCTGGAAAAAGTGCCTAAAAACAATAAATGGATCAATTATTTCGACAAACTTAGCAAAAACCTGCATCGACTTGATATCTTACTAATCTATGCCCAATACAAGGTAAATTACCCTTTGATTCAACTAGATTGGCGGCTGGAAGGCGGGCTTCTGATCTAGTTAAGAATAGAGAATGATCATAGAGCATGCGAGCGAGAGAAACGCAGATTGCGTCGCGGGCGCGAGCGGCCTTAATCTGGTCACAAAGCCCCGCCTTCCAGCCGGCAATCCAGCTGAATCAGAGGTTAAGCAGAAGTGACTCTCTATGCTCACTCCTTTATTTTCGAATGCCCTCCCCATTTCTCCGAGAATTTTCTTCCAAAAAATCGTCCATAAGAGTTGAATATTCAAGCTTGAGTCTGTGACTAGAACTCAATGATCCGCGTCAATCTGCAAGAAGTGACAATCTTGACGAATGTCAAACGATGAGCTACTTAATGACGTGCTTCGCCATATGCTCTCTCTTTCGACAGCAAACAGCTGAGGTGAAAAAAAAGAAGCGACTTAACAGCTGGCAGCACTCAAGCAGAGTTCTCAGTTCGTTTCCTCTTTGCTGCCTCATCAGCGCTTCCGGCTTAATTATTTTAGGAAAATTACTTTGAATTTTTGTAGGTTTTTTTACATTTGCTAAAGTTAGCCATTTGTTTGCCACCTGAAATTTGGGGGGGGGGGGGGGAAGGGGGGAAATAAGTGCAGTACAAGTGCGGTGATTACTGTCCTAAAACTCTCTATATATTCAACATTCCTAATCGAATCACAATGCAATCTTGTTCACATTTAACTGCTATTGTCTGATGAGTGTACTTGTCAAGCACAATGAAAGAGAATAAATGACATTGTCTGGGCCTTTGATATGATTTCATTGGTGTTGGCACTTGACCGTATTTTTATATATTTCTCACTTCTATGCTTATAAAAGACATAAATTTATTATTTTTATATTCGTATTCTATAGCCAATAAGCAAGATTGTTAATACGCTTTATTCAGTCAGGCCAACGTTTCGGTGCCTTCACCTTCGTCAGAGCCTGGAAGATCGCATACATTAGTGGTCTGTTCCCTTAAACACCTCCTCCAAGCCAAGGCTACACTCAACATTAAGGTAGTTTGAAAGCAGTGACGGAAAGCATCGTCAATGCGTACCTCGGCAATCTTCGAATCAGGGTTGAGCAACCACCAAACACAGCGTCTGCACAGTTAGTAGTAGCGAAACCAATACAATTGCCTTATATAGATGACTCTAATCTCGGTGTAGATCAAATCCGCAAAAGGATTGATACGAGATCAGCACTATTCATGGCAACGCCCTCTTCCTTGCGGTTCATTGCAGGAGCTTTGGATGTTGTCCAATATGCTTCCAGCGTCTTACGACTAACAATTTCGGATTCACGCGTCAAGATTGTGACAGCTATATTAAGTTGTTGATCTGAGTGTTCCTCTCTGTGATGTGCGCCTAAGTGGGTGTTGGATTTAGATTTTGTAAGCCCATCTAGGTGCTTTTTGATTCTCACACAGAGAGGCCTACCAGTTTTTCCTATGTACTGTTTCTCGCAAGTCTGACAAGTTATCTGGTAGATTACTCCTGCCTCCATGCAATCGCCTGGTTGACCAAATGGGCAGACGACGCAATCGACATTCATGCATAATCGGTCGTAACAGCGATTACAAACTAGTTGTTTTCTAAGATTGGAAGGCGGAACGTCTATGATCCTAACGCAGTCTTTTAGGCCTGCATGTTCTAAACTTTTCCTTATCGCTTTGCTGAAATCTTAAGATATGAAAGGAACACAAAAAAGTATTTTGACTTCATTTTTGGTTGCGCGCGGTTTGTATTCTTGCCAGGTACGTTTCGATGAATGGTCTGCGGGGTAATCATTAGACTGTGCAATCTGTCTGGCAAGACACAACGATGTAGCGCGTATAGTTGAGCTGAACGAAAATTTTTTTCGAATGAACGAATTTCGAATAATCCAATTTCAAAAATTATTCGAACGAACGAATATTATTCGAATTGTGATTTTTGAATTATTCGAACCCGAATAATCGAATATTGATACTTTTCAAGAATTCGACTATTCGAATAATCGAATATTTGGACGTGACCGAATATTCGACTATTCGAATAATCGAATAATCAGATTTGACCGAATATTCGACTATTTGAATAATCGAATAATCAGGCATGACCGAATATTCGACTATTCGAATAATTCGAATGAATCTGGTCTTTGATGAACTCAGTCCGAATGTCCTTCTGTGGCAGCATTTTGCAACAGATGTGTCTCGCTATTTCCATGGTGGATTGAGTAAAACCTAGTATTGTGGATGCTAGAAACCTATTCAACGAGCGTTTCAACGGAGGCAGGATGATAGCTAGATTACCTTGTCAACTCAGTCATAAGCTTGATGCAAAAAGTATGATGCCAGTAACTGTAGCATGCTATTAGTCAGCAATAGCTATGTAGATACCATAGAGCTTCAGTGCAAGAAAAAGCAAACGGTAAAATAGCAATCTGATGAAGTGTAAAGCACCGCTAAAGTTACCGTTGTTACAACTTCCCCCATATTAGAGGCTCCGAAGAGTGAAGGGGTCGTTCAGAAGTCGACAAGGGGAGGCGACCGGTAGAAAGTTAAGTTCTGTCGGTTCGAATATTCGAACATTCGAATAAGTCGGTTGCAAATAATCGAACGTTCGAATAAGTCCTTTTTTTATTGCGTCGAATATTCGAATATTCGAATATTGGTTTTTTCCAACGTATCGAATATTCGAATATTCGAATGCGCCGTTTTTCCAAACGGGCGAATGAACGAATATTCGAATAATTGTCTTTTTTGTATATTCGACTATTCGAACAGTCGAATAATTGCGTTTCTTTTAAACATTCGACTACTCGAATATTCGAATAGTCGAATTTTTCGAATAAATTATTCGAACTTGAATATTCGGACTCAACTATAGTAGCGCGTTCCTGATCGCGTTCCTGATCGAGCTACATCGTTGAGTCTTGCCAGACAGATTGCACAGTCTAATGGTTACCCCGCAGACCATTCATCGAAACGTACCTGGCAAGAATACAAACCGCGCGAACCAAAAATGAAGTCAAAATGCTTTTTTGTGTTCCTTTCATATCTGAAGATTTCAGCAAAGCGATAAGGAAAAGTTTAGAACATGCAGGCCTAAAAGACTCCGTTAGAATCGTAGACGTTCCGCCTTCCAATCTTAGAAAACAACTAATTCGTAATCGCTGTTACGAACCGATTATGCGTGAATGTCGATTGCGTCGTCTGCCCATTGGTCAACCAGGCGATTGCATGGAGGCAGGAGTAGTCTACCAGATAACTTGTCAGACTTGCGGGAAACAGTACATAGGAGAAACTGGTAGGCCTCTCTGTGTGAGAATCAAAGAGCGCCTAGATGGGCTTACAAAATCTAAATCCAACACCCCCTTAGGCGCACATCGCAGAGAGGAACACTCAGATCAACAATTAAATATAGCTGTCACAATCTTGACGCGTGAATCCGAAATTGTTAGTCGTAAAACGCTGGAAGCATATTGGACAACATCCAAAGCTCCTGCAATGAACCGCAAGGAAGAGGGCGTTGCCATGAATAGTGCTGATCTCGTATCAATCCCTTTGCGGATTTGATCTACACCGAGATTAGAGTCATCTATATAAGGCAATTGTATTGGTTTCGCTACTACTAACCGTGCAGACGCTGTGTTTGGTGGTTGCTCAACCCTGATTCGAAGATTGCTGAGGTACGCATTGACGATGCTTTCCGTCACTGCTTTCAAATTAACTTAATGTTGAGTGTAGCCTTAGCTTGAAGGAGGTGTTTGGGGGAACACACCACTAATGTATGCGATCTTCCAGGCTCTGACGAAGGTGAAGGCACCGAAACGTTGGCCCCTGACTGAATAAAGCGTATTAACAATCTCGGTTATTGGCTATAGAATACGAATACAAATTTATTATTTTTATTTCTATTTGTAGTATTTACATTATAATATGTATATTTATAAAATACTTAAAATCTTATTTTTTTCTGAATTATTTGCAAGTGGTAAGCTGTGTAATAATTTTGCGCTATTTTTAGAACGATTTTTTTGCCGAGATTCTTTTTCACTTCTCACAGATTGCTCACATGTGTTTCGAAGTTGTTTTTTGCTCCTCGAAATTGTCCATTTGCGTTCCGCACATTGATTGGTTTTATTTCCAACTATTTCCGACCTTGAGAAAGGCGGTGTTGTGACAAAAACTTTTCGACACTTGTTTTACTTTGCTTTGTGTAGCGGTCAAAACGCTACGAAGGCCCGAAAAAAACAAAAGGGTGGCGGGCCGAAGATGGGTCTCGAAAGTTTTGAAAGTTCTAACAAGGTGTCCCAAGTCCTTGGGCCTAACTTGTAATGCTCTAGCTTTGTGTATAGCTTTCATTTTGAAGTCAAATTTTGCAAACGCATTTTTCGTAAGGATATCAATACTTTCACAAAAAGTTATGCTGTTTGTATTGTGCATTCTCAATTTCTTTAAACAAACCCTACTACGATTTTGAGGTCAAGTCAACAGAAGAGTGCCCATTGTCTAGACGTATACAACTTTTTGTCTGAAGAAAAAGAAAAAGTGTGTGATAAATTCATGCAAGTAATGTTTTGTTATTTGTACACCCGAAATTCTTTTGGGTTGTGAAAATTCAAATTAGCCTTGTAAAAATTTTCTGGAAACCTCGCCCTCCCGAAAGTTTCTATGAGATCAAGGCTGCCAAGCTTCTTCAACTAAACAAACTTCTGTCTTCTCTCTCTCTCGTCATCCCACCGCTCTAGAAATTTCCGACCGGATGGCGGATTCAGAATTCTGTTAACGGGCTTGTTGTTTGTTTACTGTCAGTTAAAATAAATCTAAAGTATGAGAGCACGAAAGAAGAGGAATTAGAGTTTAAGTTGGAGTGTAAATTGGCTTTTCGTCATTAGTTGAAAAGCTTGGGACTTCTGCATTTGTTAGCGAAAAATAAATTTGCTAGAGCAGATCAAAAGCTTTCAGCGGTACTTTGATTAACAAACAAAATAGGGAAAAAAACCCGCGATCGCACACCTATTATCACAGAAGCAAACAGTTTATGAGTTGTTGATAGATTTTCGATTGCAACGTGCACGAAAAAATCCAAAATTTGTCTATTTAGTTTTTAAACAAGCAATGAGCTGTTAGTCTTAAGACTGAGAAAAAAAACAAAGACAGAATATATCATAGAGGGCCTTGTTCTTAAGCTCCTTAGTACGAAGCAAACGCTTGGAACTGTGCACCGTCCTATGTTGAGTACCCTTCTAGACTAGTAGTGAATAAGAATAGTGAACATATTTCTACGAACGAGAACTGGTCCCCAGTAAGCTTTTTCATGGTTTCGTAAAGACAGGAGAAAAGAGCCTACTAGCTACTACGATCTTTTTGCAAGATTTATTGGTTGTTCTGCCTTGTCTCATTTCAAGTTTCGCTTATGTGTAAACGAATGATTGATTGCCTTAACAGTTAGTTACCAGTGGCGGTCGCAGTCGTTTTTGGGGTGCATCTTAAAATCTTGGCGGGTCCAGAACCCCTGAAATCTAGAAAAAGGAGGAATGGTGGTAGCCACGCCCCCGAAAAATTTTTTTTACAGTGCTAATTTGAGTTTTTAAAAATTTCTGGAAATTATTTCAATTATTTACGAGAATAAACAAGTCACTTGCACATTTTTATGGCCCACATAAGCAAGTTTCAAAAATCTCGCAACCCGTTCCGCTTCATTACGCAGAAGGTAAGCTTCTAGGCAAAATCCAAAAGATTGTATGGTTCCCACGACAAATACCCCCTCATTTTGAAAAATCCTGAAACTTCTGACAACCCCAAAGACGCATTTGGCGCAAATTCTACCCAGACACACAACAAAAGCACTGCTCGCATGCTAGCTGAATCATCATGTGCGCTGTTTCGAATGAATGAGGGCTCGACAAATCGTCCGTCGTTCACCACGAACAACGTGGTTGGGGCGTAAAAAAAGCCCTCGACCGTTCATTCATCTCTTTTCATGGGAATTTGCCTTGTGTGAACGATTGCCTTTGAATGTGGCTTGGTTAGATCATAGCTGTTAGTTTCCAATGTTGTTCTACTCTTCCCTACACATTTCCAGTCCTCCATGCGCCCCCAATCGATTCCGTGTTATCATCAACAATTTTGCCCAAGTGTTGCTAGGATGCATGTTTTCGTGTTCTTTTCGCTGCGTTTGACCTTTAAATCCATATATCCTAGTTTTTTGGCTAACAGCGAATTATGGAAATTCTCATTTTCTTCTCTTTCGTTACTTTCATCTTGTTTGTTTGTTTTGTCACGCTCTGCTCTATCCACTTTTGCCAGCCCTAAAAAAGGAAAATGAGAAATGGATATTTTCGCATTGAGTTTATAGCAGCCAAAATATTTTTGTTATGGTTTATTGTTTAGCTTTGAAAATATGAAAGTCAAAAATCAATCTAAATGTCTTTTTGGAATTTATATATTTTTAAGCATTTTCTTGGCTTCAGGTATGTTAAGCAGTCACTACTAAATAGTCAGCCTCTGTGCTTAAATCTACTAGCATAAAACATTCGAAATAGTTCAATTACTCTAGTTACTTACTTACGCATTAATCGTGTAAAATCTACCGTTATTCAAGAATCTTCGTGAATTTTAGTGTCTTTTTGAAGATGAGGGCTAATTTAGACACGTAGATTCGACTCTCTAATAACACCAAAATTAGTAAACAAAATTTGGAATCCCGGAACAATTGCATCATGTTTCAAATCTTCTTCAAATACCCTGAAATGCACAATTTTTCAAACATGTAATCAAAAATTTTTCTATTGAAAAGCTGACTAGACAAATAAGATGAAATTTTTTGAAAGAAAAATTTTGGCGCTTTAGCACAGTGGTTCTTCTTTTTGCAATTCTATCTTTCATCATACAATTTCATCGTCTTCTGTTTATTGAATATTTTTCCACTTCTAACTTGATCGAGCCCTCAATAGATTTTTTCTTCAAACTAACATATTCACCAATTCATACCCAAATAATGCTCACATTGAGCAGAAGTTTTGCACTTTATAACTTTTTTATGTTATTTGAGAATAGATATAGCAAGTAATTACCAGGGAAAATGTTTCTGGCTCCCTTCAGCCCCTTACTACCCGTTTTCTTTATTTGTTCTTTGCTAGCGGACTGATAGATAATGAGTACAAAAATGGATGAAAAACTTTCCCGTATCGTTCATTTCGACACTCTTTTTTCTTCACATTTGAGTACAAAACTGGGAAGAAAAACTTACATCGTTCTGTCCTACTACAGTGCATTTCTTCGAATTTCAGTGGAATGTCTGTATCGATTTTTTCTATAATCTTTATTTTATGTTCTTGTCCAGATTTGAATCATTTTCTCAACAGAGCAAGATGGCAATCTCATAATCAATGCATGAAAGGCGGAGGGAATGAAAATGATTTCCTACGTGTGAAAAAAGCACCTATTCATCATGATTGATTCATTATGTCGTACACCCAAAAGCAACTTTCAAAAAAAAACAACATTGTCGTTAATGTGCCCAATTATTGTTTATGACTACTGGAAGTTGTGCTCTCACTGTGTATTACCTCATGTCCGAAGAATCTAGTTTCACCATAATCATAATTGTTCGCTTTTTCTGTATAATTCTTGCTAAAGTAAAAGTAATTGATTGTTTATAGGACCGGTTCTGCGGAAACCTCACTGCTGTTTCTCATAGCCTGTATGTCCAAAGTACCCCAAAAATCTCGACTGAAAATCAATAAGGTATTCTTTTTGCTGCAATTCTTGTCCCTCCCCCTCCCCCCCCCCCCTTCCGTCTCTAAAAAAATCTTGTGATCAAAAATCGAATCATATCCCAAATGATCGTAGTAACTAATCTAACAGTCAGATGAGTGAGAACGATTACTGTAGCTGTGACGATCCACGAGAAGCTCCGTCAGCACCTCGAATGGAATCATCGGTAGGTCACAAAGTACTTGGCTTTTTGCCAAATCCATAAATATACTAAATCGAGTCGTTTCAGGACCGGTTCTCATTTCCACATTTATTGAGACAACGACCACCTGCTTATGCGCCTCCGAGTCATCGTAAAACGCTCAAGATCGATTGCCTTTTTTGTATTGGTGTTGCGCAGCTTCTTGTTGCGGGTAGGTTACGGTGATCTCGCTGCAAAATTACGGTAGTCATACTTTATGGTCACGGTAGTTATAGGCCTCTTATGCGAGCCATAGTAAAGCGCTTGAAGTTGGTTGAATTATTTGCATTGGTATCGCGCAGCTTCTTGCAGCAAGTATCGCGGTAGTTTTACTGCAGATTACGGTAGTCTTACTGTATGACGACTGCAGTCATTTTATAAGCCTCCACAAATCATAGTAAAGCGCTATAGTCGATTGTCTCTTTGCGTTGGTTCGCGCAGTTTCTTGTAGGGAGTTGTAGGGAGTGGGTTACGGTACTTTATTATTGGACTACGGTAGTCTTACTGTATGAGACAGTCATAATGTATAAATCCATTTAGCCCTGCTCCTTTATGGTGGCATCTGCTGTGAACTTTATGTCGAGGCAGCTTACTGCTCCTACTATTCACTTTTATGGATGCCTGCGCTGTGCTTAGTCAACTCGTTGGTGAATTTTTTCCCTCTAAAAAATTATTTTGCATCTCCAAACATATTTTTCAGATCGGGATAGTTGCTGTTGTTATCAATTACGATACGCTGCTATTTGTACACCTTTGCGTATCAGTGATGGCTGTTGCGGCTGGTGCAGCCAGTACTGTGATCTCTTTATTGTAAGTAGCTATCCGAGCCCTCTGAAAAAATGATGAATGAGAGGGGGGGGGGGGGATATAGGTACTGGACTAATCAAAAATTTCTGTTTCAGTGACTACAGCGCTATTGGCACTACACAGTGGTCTTCGAAGAACAATCTCTTCTGTTTGCTTCCAACTTACGACCCACCCAGGTATGATGGCGTTTTATAAGACCTTGGGGTATGGGCACAGGGCGACTAGGGTAACTTAAATATGGGTGGACCAAATTTTCATTGTACAGGGCTCATCAAACGCAGTGTCGCTTGCATCAGCATCTCCACTCCCACGCTGGACTCTGCGTCTCTTCCGCGAACATGCTTTCTAGTCACTTCCAATCGACTGAGGCTCCGCCTTTCCCACGTTCGCCCTGCGAAAGTGATCAGAGAACACGTCCGCGGAAGAGATGCAGAGTCCAGCGCGGGAGTGGAGATACTGATGCAAGCGACACTGCGTTTGATAAGCCCTGTATTTCGGTGTATCTTTTTCCAGAGACATTACTGACACGCTGGTTACGAGTGGTGTTAATGCCATACGGAAAAGTCTTTTTATACTCTTAGGGTAAGCGTACGATATGAGTTGAGGGCTTAGATTTTGCTTTAACTTTGCAAAGGGGGCTGTACCGATCAAGAAATTGATATAAAATTTTTTTGGATTATTTTCACTCCGCAGAAAATTGCTGAAAACATTTGATGATGTAGTCACAAATGAATACCAGTCTGAGGAACCTTTTCTCTTTTTTCAGAGTAATAATATGTGATCGTACAGTAATACAACAAACTTGAGTGAAGTTTTCATTAACTTCAGCAAATAAAAAGATCTTTGAAAATTTTGCTCTATAGAGAATTTCTATGTAGGGTTGGTTCCTCATATTTGAATTTCATGATTTTGTTTAAGGATGCAAGAAATCTACAAAATTGGGAGACATAGCAATTTTTCTGAATGTATATGGCAGTTCAAGACTGGATTATTGATTGTCAATCTGTCCATTGTTGGAGCTATATTCTTAGGTAAGTGTGTACAGAAAAAAATCAGTTAGATATTTCAGTTCAACATAGTTAAAGCTGCGTCCAGAGTTGCCCGTGCTAGCGCCGTATCGGAAACAATCGAAATCGATCGATCCGTACGCGGCGCGTTCACGGCACGGTGCTGGTGCGACGCTGGAACAGCGTTGGCACAGCATCGGCACGGGGGCAACTAGACGCGGCCTGAGGGTCTGACCAGTAATAGTACACAATTTCTTTCAGTTGTTCTGAGCACGATATCCATAGTGCTATGCGCTCGACGAATAAAGGAATGGCCCAAACTTCGCTAAAGTGATGAAGATTTTCATCGAAGTTTTGTGAACCTAGCCGGTTTATACTTCACTTGCTTGACTTTCTTATAATTAGCTTGTAGCTTTGAACTCTGTACAATTGCATCTGTACTATGGGTCCCGAAATTCTTTCGAAGATAGATTTCTATTTCGCTTTCATCTATTCAAAACGTATGAGACTTGCTACGATCTCAAATCTAATAGAATCTACACTTGATTTTGCGTTTAACAACGAACTTGGCTGCGTGCGCCACTTGAAGCGTGCAAGAAAATCAATAAACATATCCATTCAAATGTGCTTACAGACACGACTCAGAGGCATCAAAGCCGCGTTGCTTCAAAATTTGCAGTTTGGAAGCTATGCACATCTTTCCTAATTTTTCTAAAAACGCAGGTTAAAGCGGGATTGCCGAATCTCGAAAAGCATAAGAACGAATAGCCACTGCCTTAGAATCTATTATGTACTATATTCATTGCTATCACATCTTAACTGTACAACAACTGTACTGTATTGATTTTATGCTTGTGAATAATAAATGATTTTTTGCTGAAAATGCCATACATAAATCGAATAAAAAGAAGTGACCCAAAATGTTTTTGCAGATAAGGAAAACGAAATGTCTCATTTCTACGCACTTTGATGTTTTTTGTTCGAACCTAGCATGGCGAAATTTCATATACCCCTCTTCCTTTCTCCCCTCTCCTCCCTTTTCCACTCGTCTACCTTTTAATCAAATCACACAATAAACACGCATGGTCTATTAACACCACCACTGACCGATGGATTCCATATTTTTTTCTATTGACAATCTTGGATCTCAAAAGAATACCTTAACAATATCTTATTTCGTTTGCATATCCAGTTCATTCTACGAGAAATTTTTATTCTCAGTCGATATGGCGACATCCATACGGTCCTGTAGGTGTTTTCTTTATTGTCCATTTGTCGATATTCTAAAATCCCTTCGCAGGCTTTTTTTCACTTCATACCCTCAACGAGCTCCAACTTCCACGATATCGATTTATGCAGAAGAAAATATATCAAGGATGCACCCCATGCAAGGGTATGAACAAGCGTGTGGCCCCATTTTTGGAACATAAAATGACAAAGCGAATTTTGCTTTCACAAACGTACATTAGGTCTTCGAATGTTTTTAGTGGAACAAAGTTCTTATAATTTGTAACTAACGAACAAACATAGTGCAGAATTGTAAACTAGCTGGCATACCCGGCTCTGTCTGGCCCTGTCAAAATGTGATAAATTACCCATCCCTGTCATTACTACTTTCCCCTGCGTTCTGCGTGTCAATTCCCTATCCTAGTTTTGTTTTCGTAGTCACCATGCCCGCTTACCCCCCGTGCCAACTCCCAGCCCCGTAACTCGAACTTTGCAAAAAATCGAGAAAATTGGTAAAAGTAGTAGTTCTGAAAACAAATATAGTATTCGTAATCAGCATTCACTGATCCCCCCCCCCCCCCAACCGTGTAAACTCCCACTCAGGGATTCGCGCCGTGCGGGCGGTCCTCATTAAAGCCCCTCCGCCTGAGCGCACTGCATAGTTTTTGATGTACCGTGCGTGCGGTCAACAATAAAAATGCCGTGCAAGCGGAAGACAGTCTTCCCGTTCGATCGGCACGCAATAAAATCGACCGTGCAAGCGGCAGGCAATGCGTCCGCACGATCGCCCAGCAATCACTTGATCGTACAAGCGGCAGGCAATCTCGCCGCGCAACCGGTAGGTACGCAATAAAATGGACCGTGCAACCGGCAGGCAATGCGTCCGTCCGATCGGGCGACAAACATTCGCCCGTGCCAGCGGCAGGCAATCTCGCCGCGCAATCGATACGCAATAAAATCGACCGTGCAAGCGGCAGGCAATGTGTCCGTCCGATCGGGCGGCAAACATTTGCCCGTGCAAGCGGCCGCCATTGACCTTTCTGTAGAAACGCGCGCAGGGACGCCGTTCCACGCGCATCTACGGACATATATTTGAAAAATCCTGCAGAGAAATCATAATTTCTTATTTTCTTCAAAATCAGACTACTCTTACCATTTAATCTTCATCTTGATGTGCTATATGATTGAACTCCGTAGTCTAGGTGTTATGCTAACTTGGTTTCTCCTGTTATTTCGCGTAACTCCTTCTCTTCACCCACTTCTTGTTCACCTCCATTCATTCACTCATTTAGCAAATGATTACTCCATTCACTTTTTCATCCGAGAATTGGCGTACTTCGTGTAATTTTTTTTCTGTGTTGCGTGCGTTTAGAAGATATGCTTCTTTACTATACATCTAAGAATTTTTCACTTCTGCTCATTGGTGTGCTGCCCTCGCACTCCTCCCTACTGATGAGCCTCGGGAGTGCTGCTTCGATGGACTGCTGGACCTCGACGACGCCGTTCTGGAGATGCGCTTATGCAACCTCGCCAATTCCCTGCTGGTAAGTAAACCAAAGTTGCAGAATTGAAATAGTAAAGTACTTTTAGGGTCAAATCCAGTGCGCCAAGCTCGACCGCAGCAACCGGATGATCGAACTGACCGGGCGCGAGCTCAGTGGTGTCGGAAGTAAGCCCACAATTTCGCTAAGAAATTGTGTTCGGATCTGGAACATCGAAGGACCTCCCCCATTCATTACGGTTAGCAATCACATCAGCATGGTTCAGATTTGGCAGTACCTTTGTTCTTCTACTTTTCTTTTCAGACGCCAATGGAGGAGCTGATCGAAAACTACAAACCAAAGGGGAGCAACAATCTTTTCCAGATGTTTGCGTGTTTTTACCGGTTTCTGGTAATGAGAGTAAGTATCATTTCAACTCATTTGCAACCCTCATATTGAATGCTACAAGACTGATTTAGATAACTGACCCACCGCATCGCATCCAAAGCTACTCTCTGCGCCTGAATGGCAAGCGAGGACGCAAGGACTCTTTGGAAAATTTACCACGCCACATCGAACACCTATTACTGGGTAAGTTCAAAGTCAAGTTTTTTGCTAATCTTACGATTTCCAGATTTCGTCGAAGATCTTATTGGATTCGGCCACAACGAGCTGAAAAGTGGGGCACGAGCCAATACCACCCATTCAAAGTGAGTTCGGAGCCTTATTTGTTTTGTTCAATATTTGATACTTTCAGATATGTGCTAAGCCTCGGCAATACGGATGCAGAACGGCAAGCGGCTCTGGATGCGAAGGTGCAGACCAGGATGGTGTACAGGAACGAACTGTTCAAAGCCCTTCAGCTAGCTCTGTGAGTATCCTTTAGTTATAAATAGCAAATAAGTTTTATCGCTAAACTGCTTAATTTCAGTCGAGACGTGCGCACGTATACCTATGATGAAAGCAAAAAGGTGTGGATTGCGGGCGACGTAAGCTTACATCTATTTATCAATGAAGGATATTTTGAAATAAACATTTTTAGAGGAAGTTGAAGCGGGCCAAGCTGGACGCCTCAATAAACTTGAGGGAGGTGCTGGACGACTCTATGAATTTGACTGAAGCCTATGATCAAGAAAACCTGGTACCAGCGTCACAGTAATCCACGCATCAATTTATGTGATAGATTTGTATTTGTATGTAAAATATATAGAGCTTTTATATCACGGGTGGCCGTATAGGCTATTATTTTGTACCGTCTGAGAAATTCTTTTGTTTGTTAATGTCTGCATTGTTTTTTTTGAAACAGTTAAATGAAGTGATTGCTGACTCTTACTGTATTCTTTGCAAAAAAATACTTGCAAATTTGCAATTTTCTCTATGGGGCACTGCAAGCGCACCGCTTTAGTCAAGCAAGCAATAGGCAATCATGTCGTGCAAGCGCCAAGCCTTATACCTGCAAACGGTAGGCAGTCGTACCGTGCGAGCGCCAAGCTTTACCCCTGCAAACGGTAGGCAGCCATACCGTGCGAGCGCCAAGCCTTACCCCTACAAACGGTAGGCAGCCCCACCGTGCGAGCGCCACCCCTTACCCATGCAAACGGAGGGCAGCCGTACCGTGCCATCGCTACAACATAAATGCGCAAACGGTAGGCAATAGCGTCGTGCAAGCGCCACACCTTACCCCTGCAATCGGACCTTCACCACCGTATAATCGCACACACCAACGAGCGATTGTAGCGGCACTGCAGACCGCCCGCACGGTGCGAGTCCCTGAGCAGTTCTGTAGCTCAAACTCGGCAAAAATCGATAAAATCGATATCCATCGATAGCGAAAGTGCCTACGACACCCTCCCCCCCGAAGTATATGTGTGCAAGTTTTGTTCCCGATCGGTTCAAAAATAAAAATTTCTATTCCGCACACATACATACAGGCAGACAAAGACACATTCAACTTTAAATGTAAGATGAACATTTTGGGTCACAACATTATGCAAGAGAGATTTGTATTTGTAAGCAATCAAAATTGTTGAGTCGGTCCGAAAATTCGTGCCGTTTTTGGATCCATGCTCTTCACTCGGAATAATGATAGCCAAACGCTCTGAACAGTGTTCGGTGCAGAATTTCTTACTCTTTCTAGTAGTAATGTTTTTGTCCAAGTTTTTCAATGATTGACAATCAATTGTCAGAATTTCCCACCCATGGTTCACTTATTTCAATTTTTGCAGCTTTATTTTGTTTTAAACAATTGCAAGAGCTTTGATAGCAATTAGATAGAGTAAACAAAGTGCAATACATCGAATTACTTGGAATTTCTTAACTAGCTTTGATTTTTTTCAAAAGTTTTCACTTTCGCGATGTCGTGAGATACAAAAACGCTTCAAGCACCAATAAATTCTTGGAATTTTAAACTTCAATAGATTATGATTGGACGCTAATTTTGCCAAGCTGTCGAGGTTCGAAACTTTTCGCGTTCTCCGGGCACAGTTGGGACGCATTTGAACAGGTACTGTATTGAATTTACCGTCAAAGGTGCTACAAGTCAAAAAACTAGTCTATCAGGAAGAAAAGAAAAAAAAACGGCATCGAATAACATCTTGGTTGCTAGCTATTTATTGTGTGAGGACGAATAGCATCAAAAACTATCTCAAAAATTTTGAGAAGCTGGCTAATGATGCCAAAGTTTTGGATAGACATTGTTTGCTCTTTCTACTGCCATCATGAAAGTTTCAAACGTTGAAGATTTTGAAATCTGCTAAAATTAGGGTAGGTAACCATGGGTTTGAGATTCTGACGATCGGTCAGCAAAGGACTCGAAACAAACACATCACTGCTAGAACTTGTCTATCATTATTCTGAGTGATTTGAGCATGGGCCTGAGAAACGGCACGAATTTTCGGACCAACCTAATATTTTACGAATTTTGCGCGACCAAATAGTGATTCCAAAAGTACTATCAGCTTTGTAAAATTCTCTCACAATTTTGATGCTACTCGATTTCAAGGTAAAGCTTGGAAGCTGGGATTTTGGGTTTTTTATTCTCGAAGTGAGTGGCTATCATTTTCATCAGCTCCTTGGAAAGAAATTCTGTCTCTTTTTCCTCAGTGGAATCTGCGAATCTGCGGACTCGAGCGAGCCATAGATATATGTAGATATTTTGAGTAGTTGGCACTTTCCACTCGAGTGCCCAATGAATCTTCTGGATGTCGAAAGAAGAATATAACGGGCGTAATTAACACATTGACGATCATGCAGAGTTTTAGTTGTCTGCCTTCTGGGGCCAAGCCTTTTAGGGACCAGCCCACATTTTTCAACTATAATAACGCACACTGTAAACATTATTCAACGGAAAGTTTCGCTCTAAAAATGTGCAAAAGAAAGCCATTCAAACGTTTTTGCACGAAGTCAGTGACCATAGAGTACAATAATATTGAACGATTGCTAATGAGTAAATGGATAGACCTCGAATGATTGAATGACTCTTGCTAGTCCACGTAATTTTCATACTATGGAACTTTGGCATGCGGATTTCAACGTACAGTAAAATAATCAGATTTCTGTATCGTCTATCGGGTACCAAGACAATAGTCTAAATGATTGAGCTTGCCCTTTCATAATCCCTGCAGCTCCGAAATATCTACGTCCTAGTCAGTTAGTTTTTTTGCAGAAATTTTTGAAAAGTCGAATATATCATTCTTTGTTAAATTATTTTGAGAAACAAAGTAAATTTCTAGAGGATCATCGACGCATCAAAGAAAGTGGTTCGTCGTGAACAGTAATGATGTCAAAACTACCGTCTGCTATATCTGAGACTGAACTTTGAGATGGATAGTTGAGCAGCTTTGAAAAGTCGCAACTTATTTCTAACTCACAAATAAAATTCTAAACATAACGTCCCAGGCATTATCATTAGCCAATCAGCAGCTTTTATGAAAGGTGATTACAAATCTATCTAGAAGCCTAGATATGAGCTCAAGATTCACGACGATTGATAAAGACAGCGGCATTATGGTCTCCTTTAGGCCGTGAGCATACCTCGCACAATTTCTGTCGCCACTCGATCTAGCAATTTGCCAGATGTCTTCAAATTCAGCATGGTCAGATCACAAATGCACAGCATATACAAGTTTCGTAGGCTAATAAAATGCATCATCTTCCTTACATTTAGAAACCCCTTCGGATGAGCTATGAACAAATGGAGTATTTTTAAGTAGTTTTCAAGTTTCCTCCCTTCTTAAAGGCAGCGTACACCCAAAATCTAAGTTACCGAATTTCCTAGATCTTTCTATACCGTGTACTAGTTGACTTACCCGGCTCCGCCCGGCCCTGTCACTAATATATTCGTAAACAGCATGCTTGATTACCCCCCTGTTGTCAGCCGCGCCCCTTTTTCTCGGTCCCGCAGCACGCGAGTCGGGGCCTCGGCTGAACCGTCCGGCTCCGCCTTCACTCAAGGGGATCTTACAAAACGCGTATGACTCAAAAGTTTTACTACTTAAGAATTACGACATGCAACTTTACTACTTCAAAAGATGTTAGAGAACTATTAGGATGGCAATATTACAGAGAGAGAGACTACCGAGAGAGAGATATTGATGAAAAGAATAAGATAAAAAGTAGGAGACGTAGATCGCCGTCTGATCCGCTCATGGCACGACGGCCAGGATATTTATACGGACAAAAGTAATAAGGAGCCCTAAGCCAAAACAATACAGACACAATACTAAAACAATAACACATTATCTACGGAAACACGAAATTAAAATCTAATTTTGGCGGTCCGGCTCGGTGATGTACTTTCCGAGCACTTCGGATGTTATGTTACATTTGCAGAGTAGACGACTGCATTTGCAGAGTAACACAGTAGATCCTATCATCGCTGCATCCAAGTCTGCCAAGTACAATCTGCCATCACAATAGATTTGGTTATCGATGCATCCGTGTCTGCACATACAATCTGCCATCTTCCTTCCATATTCTGACGTGTCCTACATCCTCATCGGCGGAATAAGCTGGCCCTGAGCTGATGCTACGAAGGCCTATCGAATGCATGAACGAAGATAATGTGTAGAGATAAGACAATTGAACTGATGGATTGGCTCCGGGCTCACTTTTAAAAGAAAAGAAAATTTGGAGCGGACGGGGGATCACTTATACAAAAGAAAACAACAAATACAATACATCGAAAATACATGGAGTCCGTGAGACGTCATGATGACGTCACACGGAGTTGATGACGTCATCGATGTCCTTTGTTCGAGCGAGAAGGTATTTCGACATAGCTTGTTCAAGTCGGGGTGTTGCAATATTCTAGTCAGTTTCGTCGCGTGGTTCTAGCCAGCAGGTGGGATATTCGTCTTCTGATCTTCTTCTTGATTGATATTACACTGGTTGTCATAGTGAGTGATAACGGCTTTGTTTTCAGGATGTTCGTTGATCGTAGCTTCTGTACCGCCCATTGTCACGATAATGGCATGTGCTGGCGCTATCCCAACGGCAGCCACTCTTGCATTTGTTATGAACCATCGCCTGCAAATAAAAACTGTGGTCTGTCCCCCGAGCCCAAGAGCGAAACGCTGGGTTTCATTGTTGGGCTAGGTGAGATAGTTTTTCTTTCCTTCTCGAAACTGGCTAGACCAAGAAAGTTTTCTTTCAGTCGCGGCACTGGTATTGTTGGCGATCTTTATTTTCTTCTTTTGGCTCGATCACAAGAAGGCGTCGCCGGCCGCAAGTGGTATTGAAGCTCCGGAGGAGCCGCGGGCTCCGCGCGAGGAGACCACTCCCTCGGGCGCGGAGGCTTCCGCTCCTCCGGAGGAGTGAACACACTCCCTATCGAGTTAGAAGCGTTAGGATTAGTCTGCGCAGTGCAACAGTTCCGGCCATACATTGACGGTGCTCGGTGTACCATCATTACCGATCATGCACCTCTTAAAGCGCTCCTGCATCGGAAAGATTTACTTGGTCGCCTCGCTAAATATCAGCTCATTCTGCAGGAATACGACATTAACATCGTATATCGGCCAGGGAAAAAGAATGTAGTATGCGACGCGTTATCCAGATATCCTCCCATCAACGCGGTCATTCCGGCCCACTCCGCTGAGGACTCCTTAATTTCCCTTGAACAGGCGAAAAACGAGCAGAACGAAGCGCTGTGGATCACAG